GCTTTGCTTCCTCGGCGGCAGGTCCTGGGCTCGCCGCTCCCTGCCGCCGCTCGCGGCCCACGACCACCTTCAGGTCGGGCGTGTCCTCCTGCAGGCAGCTTTTGGAGGAAAAATGGCAAATTGCCAGAACATGTTCAAAGATAGCCCAACAATAGTCGAAACATCGTCCCCAGATTAATTCTCAAACCACTCTTGGTGATTCCTCCTGTAGATGGACATGCCCGACTTGAGACCACCTGGAGCGCCCGGCCGAGTACGTGCGGGCCGGAGGCCAGCCAGCGGTCGACGCGGCTGCCGCCCGACTCGGTGTCTCCAGCGGCGGTCCAGGCTATGCCCCGAGGGCCCCATGGACGCAATGAAGCCCTGGGGCACTTCAGGAGGCTCAAAGCTCGACGACAAAGGTGCCCCTAGTGTTAAGTCGGGCCTGTTCCTCTACAGGAGGAAACTTCAGAAATAGTGAACACATGGTCGGGAGATGATTTTTCTACTATTTTTCATTTTTTTGAACGTTTTTTGACTACTTCTCGTTTTTCGTCCAAAATCCGCCTGCAGTAGGACATGCCCGACCTAACCCTGGTGCCCACTGCACCTCCAGTCCCATCGACGGTTCTGGTTCGGTGTCCGCACCGCGGGCGCTTCTCGCTTGAAGAGCCCCCCAGGCGGGGCACAAAATCGAGCAGAGGTCGTTCTGGCGTGAGTTTCGCTCGGTCTATGTGAGCGGGGGGAGGAGGAGGGTATGCAGGGGAGGTAGAGGCAGGGAAGCTTTTCTTTGGTTGTGGAGCGGGAGGATATAAGGAGGGGGAGCGGCAAGGAAGAAGAGCGAGGAAGGGAGGAGAGGGAGGAGGTGCATGAAGGAGCGGTGGTTTTCTTCAGTAGAACATGCGAACGAGTCATCCAGGCGATCTGGCGTGCATGGTAAGGTTCGTCTCCGCCCCAGATCCGGACCCCCAGATTTTCCTGGAGGTTGTCAAGGGCCTCTGGAGGCGCCCGGAACCAAAACAAGGGCCAAAGCTCACGAGCCACCACAAGCATATCCAACAACCTCTCTCCTCAACCCTCGAGTGTCGAAGGCAAAACTCAGCAAGGAGAGCATGTGAATAAGTCACCAGGGCGAAAGATCACATGATACAGGAGAAAAACCCAATCAAAGTCTTTTTAGGGCTATAGGGCTATGGGGCTATTGGGCTATAGGGCGATGGGGCTATGGGGCCATAGGGCTATGGAACTATAAGTCTATAGGGCCATAGGGCTATAGATCTATAGGGCTATAGGATTATGGGCCATAGGGCTATAGATCTGTAGGGCTATAGGGCCATGGGGCTATGGGGCTCTGGGGCTATGGGGCTATAGGGCTATAGGGCCATAGCGCCATGAATCTATAGGGCTATGGGGCTTTAGGGCTACAGGGCCATAAGGCTATAGGGCTATAGGAATATAGGGCCATGCGGCTATAGGGCTACAGGGCTATATGCATATAGAGCTATAGGGCTATAGAGCTATAGGGTTCTAGGGCTATCAGGCTATAAGGCTATCGGGCTGTAGGGCTAGAGGGATATAGGGCTATAGGGCTACAAGTCTATTGGGCTATAGGGCTATAGGGCTATAGGGCTATAGGGCTATGGGGCTATGGGGCTACAGGGCTATGGGGCAATAGGGCAATAGGGCTATAGGGCTATAGGGCTAACAGGGCTATAGGGCTACAGGGCTATAGGACTGTAGAGCTATAGGTCTCTAGGGCGATAGGGATATATGGCTATGAGGCTATAGGGCTACAGGGTTATAGAGCTATAAAGCTATAGGGCTATAGGGCTATTGGGCTATGTTGCTATTGGGCTATAAGGCTATAGGACTATAGGGCTATAGGGCTATAGGGCTGTAAGGCACCCGGGCACCCGGGCGGGCCGCGGAAATCGGTGACAAACCTCACCTAAACATATGAATTCGCTAGGACCCCTACAGAGGCAAGCTCCGATTGGGGAAATATAGTGAATTGCCAAGGGCCTCTGGAGGCGCCCGGATCCAAGACAAGGGCCAAAACGCTAGAGCCACAGTAAACATATCCAACAACCTCTCTCCTCAACCCTCGAGTGTCGAAGGCAAAACTCAGCAAGGAGAGCATGTGAACGAGTCATCAGGGCGAAAGATCAACAAATAGTGAAGACGTCCAAAAGCATAGCGAAAACGTTCAGATACCTCCCTCCGCGATCTTCGAGGTTCCTCGGTGACGCCACGGATGTGTGGCGCTTCGTCCATGACTGTCATTAGTTCGTTTATCCTGGGCATTTTGATTTGACAACGCACTTCGGTGACCCATCCTGGACGTGGCTGCTGGTGGGATTGTTTGTGTGGGAAAAGGAGAGCCTCGATCCTTCAGGATCGAGGGCAAAACGCAGCAAGCAGTTCATGAGGAAACGTCATCAAGGCAAAGAGTGTAAACTTCCAAAATGGCATCGCAAGCGAGAGCTCCTGTTTGAGCAGGAATCGCCTTCCATCTGTGAATTTGATGCAACAGCTTGACCGTCTGGTAATACACCTTGAGGAAGTCTCTGACGACAGCCCCGTTTTGAAAGGGTGCCGCACTCCATCCGTGTAACCGTCTTGAAATTAGAAACTTTGGTAACACATGTTCAGGATGTCTTAAGCGAAAGCTCCGTTTTGAAAAGCAGCCAGCCGCCGACCGTGTACCTGCTGGGTTTTGGAGCCGAGTGTGCGTGGCGCAACGGTGAAAGCCGCATTTTCGAAACCACCCGCCCTCGATCCGTGTATCTCGAGGACATCTTAAGCTTCAAGATCGAATGCAGTGGAGGTGGTGTGAATGTAATGAGATCTTACGTAACCGGGGAACCGAATGGAGGACGAGGAGGAGGGGGATGTGGAGGAGGAGGTGGGGGAACAGGGAACACGAGGACGAGGATGACCAAAGTATGCCCACGATGCATCAACCGTGCCGCAAGACACCCTCCTGTCCGTGACCCCCTTCAGCATCTGTCTCAACAAGTCTTCTTCCTCACAGCGCGAAGCGCCTCCCTTGAAAGACGGTTGCCCAGTGGGTCCGCAACTCAGTCGGGAGCTCGGTTTTGAAAAGAAGCTGCCGTCCATTCTTCGAGCTGTTGGGACTGTGACACGGTGGGAACAGAAAGTTCAAGGCAACGCCCAGCGACGGCCCCTCTTTGAAAGGGAAGCGCTCTCCATCTGAGTAGCTGTCGCCCAATTTTGGACCTCTCGTCGCAACTCTGGCCAAGCCTTAAGCGAGAGTTCATCCTTCAAGAAGGAGCAGCCCTCCATCCCTGTAAATGTTGCACAGACGTGTGCGTGTGTGTGTGTGTGTGTGTGTGTGTGTGTGTGTGTGTGTCTGTGTGTGTGTGTGTGGCTTTTTTTTGTGTGTGTGTGTGAATATAGAATTTTCGCCTTTCGGTTGCCCGGGTCAGCCACACGCTGGAGCGGACTGCCTCTGCCTCGCCGCCGACGAACAAACGTGTATGTGTGTGTGTGTGTGTGTCTGCAATTTTCCAGCGAGGGCCCCCTTCCTACGATGAGCTGGCCTCCGACAGTGCGCCTGCTTGCTTTCCGAGACGAGCGTGTGCGGGGCGAGGTCGAGAGCCTCATTTTGAGCACGATTTGCCCTCCGTCCGTGCAGCTGTTGGAAGATGTGAAGTTGTTCAGACGAGTATGTGCGGAATCAAGGCGAGAGCCGCATTTCGAAACGTTTGGCCCTCCCTCCGTGTAGCTGTTTGGTCGCAAGAATGAGTTTGCGCGGCGCCACGGCGAGAGCCGCATTTTCAACCCGACCCACCCTCGACCCGTGATGCTGTAGGGCATTTCAAGCCTAAGCATCGTAAGCTCTAATGAAGTCTCAGGCGAGACGCTTGCCCTGCCCTGACGACACGTCGGGTGGTGCAGCGGAGGGGAGTTCATTACAAGGAAGAGGGTTTAGGAGGACGAGGAGGAGGATAACAACGAGAATGATTAGGATCGCGATGCTGAGGATGGTGATGATGATGATGATGGTGATGATGATGGCGATAATGCATCGGGTGCTGATGCTCATGATGATGATGATGATGATGAAGATGGTGGTGAAGACGATGAGGATGCTGATTCTGATGCTGATGTTGCTGATGGTGCTGCCGACGGTGATCGGTCGATGTTGATGGTGATGCTACTTATTTTGTAGTATTCTTAATATTACCATGCGTATTCGTTTTGTCATTGCTATTATGGTTCGAATTCTTGTTGTTATCTGTTTTATCCTTATTGATATCAGTATTCGTATCATGGTTAACCTTTCACTTGTACCATTCATATCCGTATCATCAGTAGCATGATTATTATTCTTATTATTGGTACTAGAGTATTCTTATAAGCATCAGTTTGTTATCGTATCATTCGTGCTGTTACGGTTGAGATGCTGATGACGCTGCTGATGATTATGATCATGACGCTGATGAAGATGACGATGAAGATCACGGTGATGCTGCTGATGCTGATGATGATGAGGCTGCTGCTGATGATGCTGCTGATGATGACGGTGATGATGATGAGGATTATGATGATGCTGACGATGATGATGCTTATGATGATGCTGATGGTGGTGATGATGATGATGACAATGCTAATGATGATCATGAGGCTGATGATGATGACGACGATGAGGACGATGATGATGCTTATGATGATGGCGATGCTGCTGCTGCTGATGATGATGACGATGATGCTGCTGCTGATGATGCTGCTGCTGCTGTTGACGAGGATGAGGATGACGCTGATGATGATGACGATGATGATGCTGCTGCTAATGTTGCTGCTGCTGCTGATGATGATGATGGTGGTTGTGATGGTGATGATGACGACGATGATGATGATGCAGATGATGACGACGATGGTGATGATGATGATGATGATGATGATGGTGATGATGATGATGATGATGATGCTGCTACTGCTGCTGTTGCTGCAGGTGATGGTGATGGCAACGATGATGATGCATCGGGTGCTGATGC